GAAGAAGATACCTTCAGAAGCTTCCTTTTCAGATGTTCAGTTAGAAGAAGGAGAGTCTAACAGTCTGACAAAATCTGGTATGTTATGTCTTAACTGCAAGCTTTTATTCGTTCAATTAGTAAACTTTTATTGAGGACTTGTCATGTCCCAGCTGTGAAAAACAGCTTGTGCCACACTTAATGGGGGAAGATCAAGCCAGAGGCATAATTCAGTGGTGAGTGAGATGCTCATGGAATGCACAGGGCACTCTTGGGCCATGGACAAGGGGCTTGGAAGTTACGAAGGGAGATGAGCTCTGCGTGCAGGAAGGTTGGTTCGTTGTGAGGTGTGGCATCTGGAAGCTGGAGTGTGTTTTTGAAGAGTGTGAGAGAGCCAGGCGAAGTAAGGTTGTTTAAGATCGAATAGCATGTAGGAGGGTGTGCAGGAGTGGAAAGACCACGCTGCTTTGGGGAACTCAAGTGGTTTGGTGTGATTGAGCACAGGTTGTATGTGGGGAAGGAGGAGGTGAGATAGGCCACATTGTGAAAGGTGTCATGCGATAGTCTCATGGCCTTTGGACTTCTAGCTAGTATAGTGTATCAGGGTGATTGCACCATCAGATTTGCATTTTGTAAATATATTGAGTGGCTGAGACTGGGGTAAAATGTTATTGATAGAGATAACAGGACACCTTGGACTAGGATGCATATTAGGCAGGGAGCAGAATTGTCCAAGAATTACCCTGGATACTGGCACCTAGAAAACAAGCTAGATGGGAAGCGAGGCATCCCCTTCCCTACACAGCTGTAAGGGTGACACTAAAGCTCAGCTCCCCATGGGCCGACTGGGAATGAGGGTACTGTAACTCCATGGGCTTTAAGCTAACCCAGCTGCCTCACCAAGATGCCCAGGTTTAGGGAATCCTCAGGTATTCTGAGTCAACTCTCTAAATAGTTGGTACATCAAATCCAGACTACCAGGCAGCCTGGATATTCCCCATCTGACAAAGCACTTTGTCAGCTTGCCCTGTAGGAGGGAAGACCCATAGGAGTTGAAATTTCCTCCTCTGCAATAGAACTCTTGCTGGATCCTAGTGTACCTTTTGGTCCTAGTGTACCTTTTCAAGGGTTACCAGAGAGATTAGAGTACATCTCTGTCTTGCCACCCTTGGCCTTGTGAGTTTTCCCTTTCCCCAGTGTGTTGGTCTGTTGTGCATTGCTATAAAGGAATACCTGAGACTGGGTAATTTATAAAGAGAAGAAATTTATTTGGCTCACGGTTCTGCAGACTGCACAAGCGGCATGGCACCAGCATTTGCTTCTGAGGAGGGCAGCTACCAATCGTGGCAAAAGGTGAAGGGGGAACAGGATTGTCACATGGTGAGAGAGGGAGCAAGAGAGGGAGGAGGAGGTGCCAGTGAGAACTCCGTGGGCAGGGCACCAAGCCATTCATGAGGGATCTGCCCCCATGACCTAGATACCTCCCACCAGGCCCCTCCTCCAACACTTGGGATTGAATTTCAACATGAGATTTGGAGGGGATAATATCCAAACTATGCCACACAGTAAAGACTATTCTTTTACCTGTGTCTGGCATTACATTGAGGACTTGGCAGAACTGTAGAGACTGTTTAGGAGGCTGTTGTGTTTTCCCATTTGAAAGATAAAGGTGGTTTGAACCATGGTGTTGTGGGGATGGAGAGAAGTATGAAGATGAGGGATGTGGTTAGAAGTTTGAATCAATAGAATTTGATGACACCAGATGTGGGGGTTAAGGAAGAGTTGAGTAAGGTGCATGTGGAACAGCTGAGAGGATCGGTGTCATATGGATCTGGAGCTGTACTGTCCAACATGGTAGCCACTCATCATTGATCAGGTACAATGTGGCTTGTTCAAGTGTGTCAGTAGTGTGTAAAATCTGTAAGCATGTAAAATTCACACCAGATTTCAAAGACTTAGTATAGAATGGAAATAAAAAATGGAGAATATCTTAGTTATTTTTATGTTGATTACATGTTAAAATGATGATATTTTGGATATATTAGATCAAATAAAATATACTATTGTTTCCTTTTACTTTTTCGAGTATAGCATTTTAATGTGTATTTATGGCTCTCATTATATTTGTATTTTACAGTACTGCTCTAGAGCTGTAAAGAGAAAGACTGGTTTAGAGATAAAAAATGAGGAGTAGTTGATGCTTTGGGCTTGTATCACATCACCCCAGGACAGAGAGTAGAGTGATTGCAGCAGAAGTCTGGGGAGAGAAACTGAGCAAATGCCGACGTTACAGAACAGTTAGAGGTAGAGGAGTGAACTGACCTGGCCGAGAAAGCACAGCCAGCGAGGTCGGAAGCAGGCGAGTGAGAGGGTGTGACTGAAGCCAGAGGAGAAGGGGTTGGCAGTGTAGTTTGTAGAAGGATGAAATCATGAGAATATTGTGGGTAGAGAGTGGGATGCCAAGTTTTAATACATACATGGTAGAATAGTTTGGAGTAAGAAGGAAGTCTGTAGAAAGTAACAAGAATGCAATTCTGAAAGAAAGTAGTGAGCAAATCTGCCTCTGGGGCAGGGATGTGAGGATGGAAGTGAGAGTCTTTGCAGCTGAGAAGGTCAAGAATGACCATCTGGTCGTCCATATGGTTACTGGTGTTATCAGAATGGTGACAGAACTTGGGGTGGCAAGCAAGACTCAGCATCAGGTAGGAAGGGGAGCAAAAACAAAAAGAGTGATCACTTTGCCTGGTTCCCAGGTGTGTTTTAAGTGAGAGAATGAGAAGCCTCTGAAAGGAAGGCTTTAAATCAAACAAGGGGTAGGATGAGGTGTCAGGGCAAGTTGGTGGAGGGGCCATTCTGTAAAGAGACCAATTATCAGTACCTTCCAGAAGCACAGGCTTTATTCTCTATGTGGAGCAAGTGACGGGGGGGGGAAGCCGCAAAAGAAGAAGAAGCAAAAGGGCCCGGGGGCTGTGAGAGAAGCCCTGGTTCTGGGGTTCGCTCTGCTCTTCGGAAGGGGCAGCCAGGAGGCACCTGCCTCTTGATGGCGTGCTGCGGAAGTCAGCTTCCCCAGCTGACTCAGTTAAGCAGGAAAGGGAAAAATGAACACCCAAGCTGACTTCTGGCTTTAAAGTGCTTAAACACATTTGTTTCACTAAATTTTTATTTAGGGGTACTCTTTTGGCTTTCTACTTTGAAGGAAGGATCCTGCAGATACCATAATCCTTAGGAAAACTATAAATACATAATCTCCTAAGTATTCTTTGATATAATTTGTTTATTCTTTTTCAAGAAATGTCATATATAAAGTAGATCTCAGTTTAAGGCTTTATGAAAGAGATTTAAAAATTATACAAGTACTACTTGATTTTAAAAAAAAGCTTATAAAACTGTGAAGTAAAAGAACAAATTCAACCTTTCCCCTCATTCCATCCCTTTCCCCTGAAATATATGCCACACAA